TTCCATTATAATCCTCTAAACAGAAGACTATGGACCCATGCAGGACCACACCCTTAAAATGACACATCAGTAAAAAGGCAATAAGTACAAAAACGATTGTTGACAATGTTTCACAACATTGAAAAAAATAGCATAACACTTAGGATTTTTGAGAAGGTACCAACAGTATCATGTATGGTCAATAATTTTGGTAAGTGGTAGCTTAAAAAAAAAAAAGCAGCCTAAGACTAGGGCTGGGCGATATGGCCTAAAATTCATATCGCAATATAATTTGAAGCATGTGCAGTAACGATATATATCACGATATATTCTTTTCTTCTGTATAACGTATTTTCCACACTATAAGGCACACTTAAAATCCTTTAATTTTCTCAAAAATCGAGAGTGTGCCTTATGTATGAATTCTGGTTGTGCCTACTGACCTCGAATCAATTTTGGCGTGCAAAAATCTGTATAAATTTTTTTTAGTACAACTTTGGTAAGCTGCACTGCTTGATGGATTGTCAGAGCATTACGGCTGCCGTAGTGAGGAGCTTCGTGGAGTAATCTGGGTCCATTCAGTGTTGCCACCTTAGCGACTTTGTCGCTATATTTAGCGAGTTTTCAGACACCTTAGCGACTTTTTTTCTAAAAAAAAAAAAACAAAGTCGCTAAAAAAAAAGACAAGCGTATCGCTTTTACTCTCAACAAGCAGCGGGTGCTGTAACGCAGTCAGTTCTTCTTTTACTCTTATGCTGTTTTGTGGATCACAAGGTTTAAAACTACTTATAAACACACACACACAAAGTAACTCCACCAGAGTGCCTATTTTGGGTCACTTTTGCCGGTCCAAGCCCAGGTAAAGGAGCAGGGTTGGAATTGTGACATTAAAAAAAACAATAATTGCTAAAAGAAATTTAATTTGTAGTTCTAAATAAACTCTAAATGCATTTAGGATGTTTTTTTACTCGATGTCTCTTCCACGATGTTATTTCTCTCTCAACAACATAGGTTACAATTAAGCAAATTAGGCGATGACGTCGACTTCTTGCGACTTTTAGGACAACCAATCCGGTTGTTCAGTGATGACGCGACGAATCCTACTTCCGGGTCTAAAGTAGTCTGCGTTTAATATGGCTTTTGTGTTGTTAACATGTTTAATGTCATGTATTTTCTTCTATTTGATCTCAAAAAGCTCCTAAAACAGTCAGTGATCCCTGTTGACCTCCCTCGGCTTTTATTACCGCTAATCATTTATTGAAGCTCAGTTTTTAAAACCTTAGGAAGTAACTACAGCACAGCCCATGCAGCAGTATATGAATGACTAACCTCGTATTGTGGATGGATTATCTCAGTTGTTCTCCTGGCTGAAGTTTGGTCCTTTTACAGCATCCTGCCATGCGATTACATTTGTTCCTGACCACCGAGAACACTCACGATAACTTTTATCGAGTGGAAAAAAAGTTAGCTTGTTTATATTATGCTAACATAGCTGTGTCGCTAGCGGTCACGTAGCACATCATTATATACCAGCTAGCCCAACTTCAGTAACCCTACAAACGTCACTGCTGTTTAGTTTTCTGTCTTCATTTATGCTGGAAGTGATAACAGAGCTGTACGTTTTAATTTGTTTCCAAAACCCCGCAGTCAGGACATGCTATATTGTATTTAGATAGAAGCTAGCGAGCTAACTTCCTGCTAACTTCTAACTCCGTTAAATGTCATAAATTCCGTTTTCATGGATGCCTGGATGTTAAACTCAATTGTTACACCTGGTAGAGCAGAACGCTGATCATTTTATTAAAGATGAAAGACTTTAGACAGTTTTTCAACTCTCAGTAATGCCATAGTGATCGTTTGATATATGGAGCTGCAGCGGAGTTTAGACCCAGACACGGCTAGTGACGTCAGACTGAACAACTGGATAGCGATTTTCCTTACTGAGGAGTTGGCAACACTGGGTCCATTACTCCGTTTACTTCAGATCCCAAAGTCAAACGAACACTAAGAGTTAAAAACGGTCTAAATTCTTTCATCTTTAATTAAATCATCAGCGTTGCTGCTTTAACGGGTGTAACAATTAAGTTTAACATCCATGCGTCCATGAAAACACTGCTCCCCGGGCGCCTGCTTAGTGGGCTGCCCACTGCTTCACTGAGTGAATGGGTCAAATGCAGAGAAAAACAAGTAATTTCCCCATGGGGATCAATAAAGTATCCATTATTATTATTATTATTATTATTAAAAACAGAATTTATTAAATTTAACGGAGTTAAAAGTTAACAGGAAGTTAGCTCGCTGGTTTACACCCAAACATTTTATACCATGTTCTGACTGAGAGATTTTTGAAACTAATTAAAACGTACAGCTCTGCTACCACTTCCAACATAAATGAAGACAGAAAACTAAACAGCAGTGGCATTTGCAGGGTTACTGAAGTTGGACTACCTGGTATATAATGATGTGCTACGTGATTGCTAGCGACACAGCTATGTTAGCATAACATTAGCACAGTGAAGCTGGAGGATGAACGCCAAGTTTTTTTTTCCACTCGATAAAATTTAACGTGAGGGATTCTGGTGGTCAGGGACAAATGCAATCGCATAGCAGGGTGCTATACACGGGCCAAACTTCAGTCAGGAGAACAACTGAGATTATTCATCCACAATACGAGGTTAGTTATTAATATACTGCAACAACATGGGAATAGAGCAGCCGCGAGAGAATTCAACATTAATGAATCAATGTTACGGAAGTGGAGGAAGCGCAGTTTTTGGCCTTCCCCATATTTCAAAAGTGCTTCATCTCTTTGCTATGACTGTCGCCCGGCATAATTTGCAGATGATAATGGTTTTAGCCGCTGCCATGCTTTCGACCAAAACAGGCGCAGCTTGATGACGTCATCAACATGCGATAGAGCGATATAGTCAAAATCTCTATCGTTGGCCAAATTTATATTGTTTATATCGCCCACCCCCACTAAAGACTGTTTATTCTGCCAAAAATGAAAATGGACTTTAGCCAGCTGAACCAGCCAAAGGTTCTCATTCTTCTAAACCAGGGGTTAATTTTCCCAAGGGGCCACCAGTGCAAGTTTATAAAGGGATAAAATTAATATTGAGTAGAACGGAGTTCAGGCGCTCAACATTCCCAGTTTCTCATGTAGCTCTTTGGGAAAATTAACTGCCCACTCCTGCTCTAAACCAGGCTTTGAGCTTCGAGCTTGTATATTATTTGATAATTTTACTTGAAATGTGATTTGGATAAATTGGGCAAGGGAGGTCACTCAGTTGTGATATGAATGGGTTTATTGTTTCTTCTTTATCGGCTCACATCACAGCAGACAGAGCCTCCGTCAGAGCGTCAAGAACTTTGAACAGTGTTGTTAAAGATTCAGCAATCATCAAATGAAGTGGTGTTTGTTGTTTTACACAGTTATAACCTACATATATAAATAAACATGAAGTGTTTGTAGAACAAGTGTCACTGACTTTTCCCCTCTTCTTCTTCAGGACCCTGGAGAAAAACAAAAAGAAAGGCAAGATCTTTTAAGGACAGTCGGCAGGACCACCGCCACTCGAGAAATTTATGTTTGCCAATGTTGCCAGTCAGGACACCAGTGTGTGGCTCTGATGTTACCCCACCTCCTCCCAATCTTCCTCTATCCTCCCCTCTTCTCCCCGCTCTCCTCCCCCTCTTCTTCTGTCCCTGCTCTGTCTGCCAGCACAGCTGTGCTCCTGCTCCCAGCTGCTAGAGGGCGCACTGGGGGCATTTGTGGGTGTGTGAGGGGGCCTGGGGGGGGGTCTGCATGTAAGGCCAGAACAGCCTCTGCAGAGCCCCCTGGCTGCCTAAGAACAGCCATTATCTTCTTCATCATCCTCAAGGAATGTTTACTTTCCATATTATTTTAATTATTATTATTATTATTGTTGATGTTATTATTGTTATACTAAATACTGTTCTCCACCCCCAAATCGGCTGCTTTCTTTCTTCCCAAGGTTGCTTTTAAATGACTGGTGTGTGTAGATTTATCATTTACCGGGGGCCGCGCCAATGTTTATCTTTTGCTTTAATTTTGTGCTGAATAAATCGTTAGAGAATGATAATGAAATGCTGAATATGGAATATATACCAATAATCTTTATAAATGGCGGCCAAATTTCCCCAACCTTTAAACATCTGTGTTGGCCCGCAGTTTCACAATCGGTTCATCCCTACAAATACCCACAAGTACAATCAGTTTCTGTTGAAATGCTTGTTTACAGGAAAAGTTAACGTATATGAACATTTAACCTGACCTTCAAATGTGTATCAAAGTAAGAAAAGGACAAGGCATTAACGAATCCTTTGTTTTGTTTTGGTTTTGAGTGTACCTGTTAAACCTGTAACCCTCGTCCCATCAGCGCAGCAGGCTAGAACGAAACACTGTCGGTAGAAAACACGAGAAAATGCACCTTGGGCCTTTTTATAGATAACAAAAAATGGCTAAAGCTTCTTTTTTTTTTTCCTGAAATATAACGCTTTCTTTTTCTTGTGTGTTTAGCTATGTTCACTAGTCTCGGACCACCATTTATATTGTCATAAGTGTTACATTTCACTTTAGTTTATTTTTATATATACCGAGCCAGCTGAAGTAATAACTTCTTTTGTATGTTTAGAAAAATCCTCAGAGACTTGACAGCTGCGTGTCCACTGTTAAAGAAAAACACTTCCAAATATTAACAGTGATTCTGGACACATAGAAAAAAATAAAATAAAAACAGCCCACATGTTATTTCAGTTACTCTGCGGAAACCATCAGTGGGAAATGAAGAGTCAACATCACATTTTGCTTTGGCTATGTACTCCATCTCTGTATTTTTAATTTTATTTTTCATTTGTAATGTACAAAGTCACTTAATAAACCTGTGATATTGAAGAGTAAGATGGATTTATTATGAGAAAACGTGCTCATTATGAAGTGGGGAGAACACCAGTTTTGTGACTGAAACATAAACATAAAATAATGCTTTTTATTTAATTTTTTTTATAAAGCCCCTCAATTTAAACACGTGCTCTGGTAATTTTGAATTATTAAATGATTTCTATGGTGGCAATATAGGACACTGTTTTACCACTAGGTGTCGCTCTGTGCACTTTAAGTGTTAGGGCGATTTTCAATGGCACTAAATGTTATATTTTATACATTAAATAATATGTACAGACTATAAAAGTTGAATGGAGACAAATCACACGGATGGAAATTTAGTTTTTCTCTCCGATCTTCAGCCTTGAATCGACGCCGGGTCACAGAGCTCCTGCGGGGATGAAACCAACAGTTGACCAGGCAAATATAAGCTGATGTGAGACTAGATTTATGAGAGTGTTGCGGGAAATATACCTTAATCCCAAGAGCTTCTCTTCCCCATCAGACCCACAAAGGTTTGAAATTTGTGCCCTAGAAAGAAAAACAGCATTTCGCCATATATATATATATATTTACATATATTTATATTTATATATTTATATTTATATATATTTATTTATATTTATATATATATTTATATATATTTATTTATATTTATATATATATATATATATACATATATATATATATATATATATAATTTTTTTTTTTTTTTTTTTTTTTTTTTTTTTTACCTCTGAAATAATGCTGAACTGAAATGCAAAAAATAGAAAGTTATAAAACTTACGTTTACGTGCCGTCCGTGTTTTTCCTGTTTGTGAAGAATTAAATGGATGAGTGAACTCTCTCTGGGTAGATGAGCAGTTTAAAACATAAATCTGCATAAATTTGTTCAAAATGCCGTCATATCGTCTTACCAGACTCCTTTCTCCCCATAAATCCAAGATGTTGGCGAGATCCTGGTTTTCTGATCATTCTAACTAAAATGTCTTGAATTTCTTTAGAGTTTGGCCATTTTTCCTTATATGAGACAAACACAAGCAAATAAAGACGTTTAATATTAAACATTCTCTTTTTTCCATATGAGAAAAAATACAATAGAAGCCTGAAACCGAATCCAAGAAATTATTTCATTAAAAGGTTTTGAGCGTAAGCATTAATCATAATCACATACTTTGTTTTAACTTTCTTTATACGTACTCTGAAAGGACGCTGGCAGCAAAGAAAGTGCCAGCAGGTTTATAAAATTTTACCTCCTCGATGTCTTCTCTCCAGATGTCAGCATCCATATCTTGACAGAAAACGTTTGACAGAAGCAGCACAGAAATGAAAACAAGTTTAAGCGTTTCCATCACTGCAGACTGTGTGTACTTAGCCAGGAACACAGATAATAAATATCTGTGTGCAAGTGGATCACACCTCACTGCTGAGTTTCAGATGAAGAGAGCAACATCCACGGTTCTTTTGCCGAGGTCCCTTTACGCAACGTTTGCGCGCTTTTACGCACAGCTGTGTGAGTGAAAGATGAGGGCTGATGCTCATCTCCGGCAATTATTCTGAGTCACTTGTTGCACGTACGTCTTCTAAATGGTCTTGTGTGACTTGTTCAGAGAAATGTTTTGAACTGGACTACTTTAAGACTGGCTAAAATGCTTATCAGACTACGCTATATGATATAATTGGAACATCTTCACAGCACATGGAAAATCGTTAAATTAACAGTAAAAGAGTCAAAAACTGGTTACGGACAAAAAGTGTGTGATCATGTATGAGTTGTATAGTTTTAATGTTTTATTTGGGAACAGAATGGTGTGAATGTGTAAGTTTGGTGATGGAGTTTTTATTATGAATGAATGATGAATTTTTATGAATTATTATGTCTATTTTTTATGCTTAAGGACAACAGATGGAAATTAGCCCTTGGCTATAATCTGGTATGTTTACATTCATGTAATTTTTAGTTTTACATTTATGTTCATTAACATGCACTGTCCTAAATAAAATAAATAAATAAAGATTAAAGGACTCTGATTTGTGCATTTAGCAGCTTATTGTTGCTGTATGTAACCACCACTTTTTTATAATCTATTTTTATTTGGTTTTGTACTTCCTTTTACATCTTAATTTCTCAATATGTAACCTCAAATTTGACATGATTGTGATATGGTGAAGCTCTCTGAGACATGCCTTAGTTTTTGTATTAGCAGATGTGCAAGAAAATGTCCTGATGAATGAGATACGGTTATATAAAGAGCTACATTATACTTGTACTTTACATTGTTTACTTTATATCGATAAAACTGAATAGTTTTCTTAATAATAGCAACCAATATATGTTGTAATGGCATACTCTAGTTCTCGAATTGGCTCTTGTGTCGGATAACCTTTTAAATATTTTTATTGAGATAAAAGAATACGATTCAGTTTAATTACGTTTTATTTATACAGCACCCATTCATAACAACAGTCACCTGCACGGTGCGTTATATTATTAGGGAAAGACCCTACAATAATACAAGGAAATTCCCCCGATAAGCAAGCACTTGGCAACAGTAGGAAGAAAAAAAAATGTCCCTTTTAACAGGATGAACCCTTCGGCAGAACCAGGCACAAGGAGCAACAGCTATCTACCACAACTGGGGGGGTAAATCAGGGGTCTTAAAACATTTCTCTGAAATAGGTCAGGTCATCATCAAATCTCGCGAGATGTTGAAAATTTATTTCTGCTAGTCGTTTTGCAGCTATTGTCTCCTATTGTTTTGCTATTGTTTTCCGCCTCAACTAAGCGTTTTATCACGACAGATTTAATTATTTTGACGACCAATCAAATTCTCTGTTTCAGATCATTTTCCGTTAAAAGTACCGTTTGCGCTTTCCCAGACCTGTGTCCCTGCAGGGCTGCCGTAGACAGCGGCTCGGCCCGCCTCCAGCTCAAATGTTTGGATGTCATGATTAGGTGGAAGGAGGAAATCACAGGTCGTCTGGGGACAGCTAAAAAAAGACTCTGACCCTTTAAGTTTAAGTTAACTTTTGGCGAAGTGATGTCCGACCTCGGTTGTTCGTGGTGAGTTCACGGGCACTAGCTTACACCGGGAACATGGCTTTGTTGCGTTCAAAGTCTGCGCTGTTGTGGTTCCTGATTGTTGTGGCAGCTCATATCGCTGAAACAGGAGGGAGACCGAGGCGCCAGGTGTTGCTGACCGAAGGTGACAGCACGGTGAGTTTGAGATCTCGGCAACCTCCCGCAGGGCCGGAGCCCGGTGACCCGGCGGACGCGTTCAAAGTACCAACTCTGGATGGGGAGTTTTCCTTCCAGCCCGACGCTTTGAGGGGACCTCTGGTGATCCACGCCTTCACCAACAACTCAGGGTTTCTGGAGTGCCTTTGGAGCTCAGAGTCTTCGCTAAAAAGTCTCGTGGAGGAACTTCCGAATAGCACACAAGTGCTCTTCCTATCCCTGGACGACTCTGTGGTCAATGATGTTCTCTGGATGCGGGAGCAGGTGCTGCGGGCCGCCGCCCACAGGTGAGCGTGAAGGACTCATCCTCGCTGTAAGGCAGACGAATTGGGTTCCAGTGGTGATAGAAAACAGATGTTTAATAGCACTTGGCAATGCATACCTGCACTGAGTAAAACATACTCAGTGTCAATACAATTATATTAAATTAATTAATATTCTGAAGCTGTTTATGTAAGAATATTCCCAACCCCCTGAGCCACGGTCGCCCGTTAAAAATTAAACAGTTTTAACAACAAAAAACCTGCAGACTTGTGAAATGTGACTTCTTTTCTGCTCTGGTTCAAATTCCATAAAGCTTTGAGACCCACTTGTTTCCTCTCTAATGCATTCCCATCCATAAGTTAATTTTGTCTGTAAACTATAAAATTTCAGTTTATATAACTGGAAATTTACCTTTTTCTATTTGAACGTGAAACACACAGGGCCTTCCAAAAGATCATAAAATATAGATTTCATACGATGGATAATTTTAGCACTTTCATCATTTATTTCAACTCTGTGCTGTGAAACAGTTTTGACATTAAAAAGTTTCTTGGAAGATTAAATGAGCAGAGTATACTTCCTTTTTTTTTTTTTTTTTTTTTTTTTTTTTAAACTTGCACAGGAGGCTGATATTTTATTTTACAGTTTTCAGGAACATTAATCCTCAAAGCTGTAAAATAATCGGTTATGTGAAACAGGAACCATCTTAATAATAGTGACAACATACTGTACCAAACACAGGAAACTGCACTGGGAAAAAAGGGAAGCGCAGCAGAAGTAAAAAGTACCTAGAACTCCTTAGTCTATTGGAAAACATGATGTTTTTATTTAAATCTCAATGTTTTATTAACATGAGCAAGATCCCAAATGTCACTGCCAGAGTGACATTTATTGTATTAACCATTTTCTTGGGTTGTTTAGAGTTAACCTATGAAGGATTTTTCTTACTTTCAAATATGTGCACTTAAAATGGTGGATGCTTGCATTAAATATGGCCATCAAAAGCTTCAGACACATCTAAGTGCTTTGTGTTGGACAGTTTTTCTTGGTTCTGTATGATGTCACAGGGGATATCCCTGTCTGTGAGTTGTTTGGTACCGTGCTGCAAGAGTTGAGGCTCGAGTGTGAAATTTATGGTTTTCAAGGTTTTTATCATTATTTTATCTTTTTTATCGTTAACTCCGTTTCCCTGGGTCTTTTCCTGTGTGTTATGAATAAATCTTCTTTTTTCTTTTTTTTTGCTACCAGTACTGGTGTTATTTTGTTGTATTTATCCGCCACACCTTAAAGGCTGGTCTGTGAAAATATTGTCTGACATAAATGGTAAATGGCCTGTATTTGTTTAGCGCTTTACTAGTCCCTAAAGACCCCAAAGTGCTTTACACATTCAGTCACACACACATTCACACACTGGTGATAAACCGGTCCGTGGTGCAAAAAAGTTTGGGGACCGCTGATCTAAGACACAGAAACCACAACCACCTGATGCTCCGATCTTCTGCTTTTGAAGTGCAGCCAATCAGAAGGCATGTGACTAAAATGGCTTTTTTTTTTTTTTTTTTTTTTTTTTTTTTTTTTTTTTTTTTTTTTCCCCCCCCCTAAGTTAGCAGATGAACTGTATGAAATAAATTGATTATTTTGAAGTCCAAGAGTTTAAACTTGGAGCTGAAAATAAGGTTTTATGGTTCTTCCTGAGTTAATATAACCATCCGTGCGCTTGCCTCTTTTACGTTTCTGCAGTAAAAAGGAGGTTCTGTCCAGGCTGCACTTCTCTCCGGTGCCCGTCTTTGCTCTGGGTAACTGGATCCCCAGAGTGCTTTACTACTGGAGCTGCATGGGACACGGCTGTGGTCTTTCCCAGGCTGCTTTCATCTCAGAGGGTAAGACAGTGCATGGAATCAGACTCTGCAACTGATTTTTCTCTTGACCTGCCTGATTTTTAGAGGAGTGAAGTCAGAAGGTTAATTTCAGGTCTGTTTATTAATAGATATTAATATTTAGAATGCAGAGGAATGTTGAGAGGAATCATTTATTTGTAATTCTTGGCTCCCCCCTGCAGAGTGGAAGATGCCTGTGATCATTAAAAGACTAGATGCCAGATATGACTGGCTCATGGCACGCTGGGGCTCAAAGTCCTATACAGTGATTGATGCTGGAGATGGGTGTGAAACCTTCCCCTCGGTGGCAGGTGCTGTGGCCTGGGTGTCTGAAGGCAACTGTTCTTTCTTCACTAAGGTCTGTTAGTGTCAAATTGAATGAATGTTTTTGCTTCCAGTTTGTTGACTTCTGTGGTGACGTGCTTGAAGTTCAGTGAAATTAAATCGAACTGGGAGGATCCGGAGACTTAAAAGGCTTTTTTTTTTTTTTTTTTTTTTTTTCTTGACATTTAAAGCTTGACTACATAAACACATCAGATCTCAATGGAAAAAACAAACAGGCTGGATATCTATACAGATGTGGGCTGGGTAATGTGTTAGGGATGAAGGTATGCTATATCATTTGATGGAAGTAAAAATGATCAACCTACAAAGGAGGAATTGAAAGGCAACTCAAAAATCAATGACAAAAATAATGAAACGATGGAGGAGAAACCACAAGTCTACATGCTGAGAGGCTGAAAACAATAATTCTTGGTTTTTATTTGACTTTTATTTCTTAATAATTTGGGAACTTTTGGCTGGTGAGGCCAACACTTCCTGGTCTCCGGTGTAGCTGATGGACATCAAAGCTGTACACTGACCCCCCACGTGGGCGACCGTGGCTCAGGGGGTTGGGAAGCATATCTGTAACTGGAAGGTCGCCAATTCGATCCCCGGGCTCTCTGTCCTGGTCGTTGTGTCCTTGGGCAAGACACTTTACCCTACCGCCTACTGGTGTTGGCAAGAGGGGCCGATGGCGCGATATGGCAGCCTTGCTTCTGTCAGTCTGCCCCAGGGCAGCTGTGGCTACAACTGTAGCTGCCTCCACCAGTGTGTGAATGTGAGAGTGAATGAATAGTGGCATTGTAAAGCGCTTTGGGTGCCTTGAAAAGCGCTAT